CTTTATGTAGCACAGTTTGCAAGCTGGGAAAGGGGCTGAAGATTTAAACACATACACACACAGACAGAGACACAGGAACACGGGTCTCCTTGAAACAAGAACGGCAACTTTATTGTGCTCCTGGGAGGCTTATATAGGGATCCTTAACTGATAGCCACGCCCCAGCTTTTGGGATTTCCTGCTGTAAAACCCACCAGGAACTCCTGAGGGTCTCGTGCTCAGAGCAGCTACAGGCACAGGAAAACAAGGTGCTTTGCTCAGAGCAGCTGCAAGTATAGGAAAAATAAGCTGTTTATAGGAAATTTAGGGTCTGGAAGTCCACAGTCCCCAGCAACTTTATAGTGCCAGGCTGTCCTTAAACTCATGGGCGGTCCTCCTGCCTCAGCATCTTGCATGATAGGATTACAAGTATGAGCCACCAAACCTAATCCCATTTTTTAAAAGAGTTTATTTTTTTATTTGTGTGTGTGTGTGGCAGCGTGCATATGTGTGTATGCACATGAATGGAGGCAAAAGTCAACTTTGAGTGTCGTCTCTTAGGATACATTTACCTTGTGCTAGACAGGGTCTCTCACTAGGACTTGGGCCTGGCTAGGAAAATTAGACCACCTGTTGAGTGAGCCTTAGGGATCCCCCATCATCAGCTCCCCAAAACTGGAGTTACAAGCACCGCCAGCACTCCCAGATTTTTCTTGGGTTTTCATGCTTGCAAGATTCTTCTTGGCTGAGCCATCATCTCTCAGCCACGAGCCTGTCTTCTTTTGTCCACTCAGGTAAGTTGTTTGCTTTCTGCTCTGAAATCGCTTGAGTTTCTTATAATCTATTTATCTCTCCTATCTGATGGATGGGTGTTTTTGTTTCTTGTTTTTTGTTTTTGGCAAGGTCTCATTTTGTAACCCAGGCTTACATCAACCTCCTTCCAAAGCCCAGGCTGGCTTCAAACTCTTGATCCTCCTGCCTCAGCCTCTCAGTGCTGGATTATACCTATATGCCATTGTGCTCAATATTCTCTTCACTTTCTTTGTTCTCAGTATTAAATACGGGGTTTCTATATGGGCCAAAGTTAACATGTAAGCCCCACTTGTCCAAGGACAGATAACTTCCTGGGATGCTATGACTATTGTCCATGTAGGGTAACAAGTCACGGAATTTACTTCCATAAACAAGGCTGTCTGCCCCACCTGCACAGGATGTGGTTGGTCACATGTTGGTAGGATGCATGAAGGCAGAAAGTCCGTCAGGATGTACGCTCGCTCCCTTGGACGAAGGCAGGAAGTGTATGGCCTTGTGGGTTTGACCTTTACAGGCACCTGACTGACCAAATTCAGCGCTGTTCTTTGGGAGTCCTTGGTATGGACCAAGCTAGTGTCCATCTTCCTGGCCAGTACTAAATAAATCTTTCTTTAGTTGGACAATCCATGGACTTTGTCTTTCTCATCACAGCTCTCAGGTTTGGCACTTCCTTCATCCTGTGCCCAGAGACACAGCCCCTGGGGCTATTTCTCTCTTTTCTGTGCACCTCGCTGCTGGAGTGTAGCACTGTCGCCGATGGGGTCATGCTAGTGGAGTGCCTGCTCCATTACTACATTTGTTTATCAATCATAACTTTTTTTGTGGAGTCTTTACGTTTTTCTATGGACATCACATCATTTGCATGCAAAATATGCTTCTTCCTTTCCCTTTTGAATGCCCTTTATTTCTTTCAGTGGACTAACTGGTCTGGCTAGAGCACCCAGTACTTCGCTGAGTTCAAGTGGTGGAAGCAGACAGCTTTTGATTCCTGATCTCAGAGCTTTCCCCTCCTCCTTCCCCCATTTTGTATGCTACCTGTGGGTTTGGACTGGGTTTACTGTGTCAAAGTTCATCCCTTCTCTGCTCAGTCTGCTTTTATCAAAGTAATGTCTTTTGAAGTGACCATATGATGTTATGGGATAATCTTTTTGTATACTGTGCGGGTGTGTCCATTTTATCTCATCTGCCCAAGGTGCCTTCTGAGCGGTTTAAGAAAGAACAAGTCAGTAGTTATGCGGAGGAGGATAGGCGGGAGCTCTGGGCAGAGATAGAATCTCTAGGGAGAATCTAAGAGGCGAGGGATTCGTCAGCTACACTCTGAGGAAGTTGGATGCATGGAACTGAGTAGAGTTAACAAGCCATGTGGCAGAATGTAGGTTAATATAAATGGATTTATTTGTTTTAAGAGCTAGTTGGGAAGAAGCCTAAACTAGAGCCAAACTTTCATTATTAAAAGCAAAACAACAACCAAAAACGTCTGACTTCCTTTGCATCTAGCTGGCGAATTCCCCACCTCTCAGATTCTTCGCGAAGTTTCTGTCACTGCCAGGAAGGCCTGTCTATCCTTTCCTGCCTTGCTGTTGGCCATTCATCTCTTTATTAAACCAATTGGAAGATGCCTTAGACAGATGAGGTAGAACAGATATATCTTCACAGCCAGAGAGGTGAGGGGTCCCACCTCAGGGCAGGAGAACTCTTTGGCTGCGCTGCTCCAAGGGAGACTGGACACAGAAATCATCCAGGGTCCCAACATTTCCTCTTTTTACTGTGTCTCCATGCCTGCCCCCTCTAACTGAGACAGGATATTCCTCTGCCTATAGTCTGCCTTTGTTTTTTTCTACCTCATCAAGCCTGGATACTCCTGCTTCTGTTTCTACTCTACAGTTATAAAGACATGGACAAACAAAGGAAACATCGGATGCCAGTATTTTCTGAGTTCCGTTAGGTTTCTTTTTCATTTTGTTTGAGACAGTTCTCTGTGTAGTCCTGGCTGTCCTGGCACTTGCTCTGTAGACCAATCTGGCCTCAAACTCACTGCCTCTGCCTCCCGAGTGCTGGGATTAAAGATTTGAGCCACCACCATCTGGCAGGTGTCTTGTTTTAATGATTTTCTCTTTATTGGTCTCTAGGTTACAAGTTCTTATAAGTTTAAAAGGGCCAAACAGGAAACATGTATCAGAGGTTTGACCCACAAAGAAGCCAAGACTTCCCACCTCATAGAATGTCATCTTTTCCTGCAACTTGATGTCTTCCTAAGAGAGAGAATACTTACTAAGCTTTTCAGGTTGTTGTCCCCCCTCTGAAGACACTCGGATGGTTACGGATGTGTTAATCACCAGGCTCAGGCTTACAGAGAAACAGATGCCCTTTGGGGTAAGGGTGATGTTGGGAAATTGTCACAGGATATCTTAGCTCATGAGAAACTGGCTCTGGAGCTGGGATTTGACCTTCCCACTTTAGATCCAAGCATGTTTGTCTTAAAGTTTCCTTCAAAGTCCCTGACCTAAGTCAGGCTGGCCCCTGATCCTGTGATGGGGAGAAGAAGAACAGAGCAGCCCAGGAAAAAGGCCTTGTGCCCTTGAGAGCAGCTAAGTGGCAGACGGTTTCCAATAGTGGTTACGATTGCTTATCAAGCTATAAAGATGCCCATCATAAAACTGGCTACCGGGATGCTCACACATAGAAAAATAAAAGGACACACAGCCTAAAAATCTCTTAATAACTCCAAGATCATATTTTTTTAATTGAAAAAGTTTTGCCTTTCAGTGGCAGCACACGCCTTTCTTTAATCCCAGCACTCAGAAGGCAGAGGCAGTTGGATCTCTGGGAGTTTGAAGTGAGCCTGGTCTACAGAGCTCTGTCTTGAAAAATCAAAAAAGTTAAAAAACTTTTTGTTATGGGATGGAGCCTAATTGGAAGTCATTCTTGGTAAACAAACATTAATAGAGACTTTCTCAGCAACCTTAAACTTCAGGTATCGTACGAAGTTTTCATTCTTGCAGTTTCTAGCAAAGCTGGTCAGTGAGCTGCTAATCTCCATCATATTGGAGGCCGCGCTCTAGCTAAATTCCACTTTGTGTAACTTAATGCTTCCTATGCAAGTTTATTAGTAAATCCTCTATAGCACCAATTTCATGACGTTGGTTTCTTCTGCATCGTGTGCAAGTGTGTGCGTGTTCATGTGCAGACTTGGTGTTGATGGTCTGTATCTCCCTCAACCATGCCTCACCTTTCTGTGGGGTACGTGGGCAAGGCCATTTTGGAGACTCTCCATTTTGGAGAGTCTTCATCTGAGTGAAGACTCCTGTCTTAATTAGGATCTCTGTTGCTGTGTAAAGACACTATGACCAAGACCAATCTTTATTTTTTTATAAGATTTATTTTTTATGTACACAGTGCCAGAAGAGGGCACCAGATCTCATTATAGATGGCTGTGCTGGGAATTGAACTGAGGACCTCTGAAGAGTAGCCAGTGCTCTTAACCGCTGAGCCATCTCCCCAGCCTGACCATGACCACTCTTATAAAGGAAAGCATTTAATGGAGGCCTGGCTTCCAGGGTCAGAGGTTGAGTTCATTATTGTCATGGTGGGAAGCATGGCAGCGTGCAGACAGACACGGTGCTGGAGAGGTAGCTGAGAGTTCTACATGCTGGATCCAAAGGCAGCAGGAAGAGAGTAAGACACTGGGTCTGACTTGAGCATCTGTGACCTTAGAGCCTGCCCCCAGGGACACTTCCTCCAAAAAGACCACACCTATTCTAACAAGGCTACACCTCCTAATAATGCCACCCCCTGAGTCTATGGAGGCCACTTTCATTCAAACCACCACAAAGAGAAAAGGGCTGTCCAGTCATCTGAGCGAAGGACCCTGAACAGGCCACGCAGGCAATCTTAAGGCCTTGAGGCTTTTGTAGTTCTGCGGGAACAAAGTAGAGGTCTGTGGTTGTTAATGTGTATTGTCCACTTGCCTGAATCTGGAATTACCTAGGAAACCTCTGGACGCGTGCACACACGGACACACACACACACACACACACACACACACACACACATGGTTATCTAGGTTAGGCAAGCTTCTGACCTTGCCTGTGAAGGGTTAGTGAGGATTAGTTGCCTAATCAGGGCAAGTGAAGTTATGTTAATCCCACTGGGTGAGAATACAAATACAAGTTTTGCGCCAAAATTGAAGCAAGCTTTATTAAGCACTGGCCAGGTCCATACCTGGGACTTCCAGAGAAAGTTAGTCAGGTTCTTTTAAAGGCAAACCCCACAAGGCTCTGCACTTGCTGCCTTTCTCCAACTGGGGCAAGCATACTCCTGACATACTTCCTGACTGTGTCTGATCGTGCACATCCTGTGCAGTCGGGGCAACCAACCTTTGCTTATATAAGTGGAAACTGTGGCTTGTTATCTTCCTTGAGCCACAGCCCCAGCATCCCAGGAGGTTATCTGTCCCTTGGGCCGGTGGGACTTACCGATTAGAGACATTTTTGTGTTGGAGATCTCTTAAGCACAGCAGTTTAAACTTCAGTCCTCACAGTTTGAAGACTGCAACCCTAAGGGAAGGGTGTACCATTCCCTGGCTGAGCTAAGCACCAGCAACCGTCAGTCCCTGCTTCCTGGTGGTAGGTACAGAATGACCCGCGGCTGCGGACTACCCCAGGACTACACTGCCACAGGGGACTGCGCTCTTGACCCGTGAGCCAAATTAACCCCATCAAATTGCTTTTGTTAGGCTTTTAAAACAACAACAACAACCAATGTAACTAATACCAAATCTGGAGGCAGAAGCTGGAGCCAGGACAGTAGACATTGGGATGAATCCCATTGGGATTCTGCTTCTACTCTGAGCTGGGTGGGAGCTGTGTCACGGCTTAGAGAGAGACGACGCTAGGTGTTTTGGTCAGGTGACTGACTGGTTGCTGTGCTTATGGCTTGAGGGAAGAAGAGGTCAAACACTGGAGAGGCCAGATTGGAGCCTGCCGTATGGGTCCACGTGACGGAAGACAGAAACTGGGGTCAACAGAATAAGGGGTCTGATTATAATCTTTGCATTTTAAAATCCATGTTACTTGCTGGGTGGTGGTGGCACATGCCTTTAATCCCCAGCATTGAGGAGTCAGGGGCAGGCAAATCTCTCTGAGTTCGAGGCCAGCCTGGTCTATAAAGCAAGTTCCAGGCCAGCCAGAGATACATAGAGAAAAAAAAAAAAAAAACAAACCCATGTTATTTTATTTTTAAAAATTCAGGTTTACAGGCTGGAGAGATGGCTCAGAGGTCCTGAGTTCAATTCCCAGCAACCACATGGTGGCTCACAACCATCTATAATGAGATCTGATGTCCTCTTCTGGCCTGCAGGCAACTGTGCTGTATGTATAGCAAATAAATAAATCTAAAAAAAGTTCAGGTTTACAGACAAGTCTTAAGAATACCACAGCAGCTCCCTGGAACCCTGTCATGGGTTAGTTCCTACTGAAGGAGAATGAGGACACTGGAGACCCGAGGGAGAGAACAGTCAGAGGCACCCGAAGGGCCTGGACTGAACAGGGCCATGTGACAGGGAGCAAAGAGAGGGGACCAAGGAAGAGCCGAGAATTAAGAGAGCTTGTGGTCAAAATGGCTGGGTTAGGTAGGGAGAAAAAGAAGCTGGGGGAAGGAAATGAAAACTCGGGGGCTGAAGAGGTCTAGAGGAGGGGTGGGGTGGGAAGTGCAGGAGGGAGCCAGGGCTCTGTAACAGGTACCTGCTGCTGCCAGAGAGGTGGCCAGTGTCTGCTCTGATGTGTTAATAGACTTCTCAGCCCTTTGGCCCGTGCTTCTTTGGGATCTAACACCTACCTATAAATATTTTGCCCCATTAGCTTCACTTTAGCTCTTGTGTTATTTTTGGTATTATTATTTTTTTAGTAAAAAAAAAAACCAAAAACCTTTTTGTGTGTGTGTCAGTGTAGGCGCATGTGTCTGCTGTGAGTATGTGCAGACCAGAGGATGTCCAGTTGTCCTCCTCTGTCCTCCAGACAGGGTCTCTCACTGAACATATTGCTATTCTCCAGCTTGGTTAACTGGCCAGAAAACCCCACCCACCCTCCTGTCTCTCCCACCTCTAGCTCTGGGAAGGTGGGCAGGTATGTGCAGCCGTAGACAGCATTTTGTGTGGCTTCTGGGGAGCTGAGCTCGGGTCTGCATGCATGCCTAGGAAGCGTTCCTCCACCGAGCCGTCTTCTCCAGCCTCTATTATTATTATTAATTATTATTATTATTATTATTTATCTATAGGAACAATCTAAGAAGACATTTGCCAACACCACCGTTCACTCCTTTACACTTCAAATGCATATTTCCTAAGGACAAAGACACTCCCTTTCATAACCCATCACTGTCCCGACCAAAATCAGGAATGCTAATACCAGTTCAATACTATTGTCTACTTTGCAATCTATATTAAAATCTTGCTAACTATTCTGGTGATGTCCTCAACAGCTTATTTATTTGTCTGGTTATGTAGTGGTGATGGATTGAGCCAGGTAGGGCCTTGTGTGTGAGAGTAGGCACTCTCCCAAGATTCACCCCTGTCCCTCCTTGATAGCATTTTCCCTTCATCTAAGATTCTAGATGACAGACAATTGTCTCTGCTTTAAGATCTGGAAGAATATTCCCCTCACCCCCGCTTTTGCCTTTCTGACATGAAGAGTACAGGCTGGTTGTTGTGTGAAATGTCCTTTGTGTAGTGTATCTGATGCTTTTCTCTTTTCCTCTGTGTGTGTGTGTGTGTGTGTGTGTGTGTGTGTGTGTGTTGGGTGGACGTGTCCACATTTCCAGACAGCTAGAAGGACATCGGACATGTTGTTTTTTTTTATTCTCTGCCCTGCTCCTTTGAGACAAAGTCTCTTACTGTAAAGGTTAGTGTTGTCTGTCAACTTGACAGGCTCTCGAGTCCCATAGAATGCAGCCCCTGGCGGTGTCTGTAAGTGGTTATCTCGGTTAGGCTGCAGTGGAAAGACCCACCCCAGAAGCAGGCAGCAATGGTTCCGTGGCCTTGGGTCCTGGACTGCACAAAAGGAGGAAGGAAGGGGGTCGCTCAGGAACGGTGTGCTCAGGAACGTGTGCGGCGGTGCGTCTCCGCTTTCTGGCTGTGGATGTGACCTGAGCAGCTGCCAAGACCCCACTACAGGTGACCATGTTTCCAGATGTAAATGGAGAACAACCCTTTTCTTCCTTAAGATGGATTTGGTTTGGTGTCACAACAGGAAAAGTAACTAGGACACTCAGCCTGACCTCCTTCAGCCGATGCCCCTTCTGTTCCCTCTGCCTCTCTCATTCGCTGAAGAGATGAGCTCTTGGCGTGAGGAGGCTGGGCTCAAACTCCTGGGCTCAGCTGACAGTGCTGCCCCAGCCTCCCAGAGTGGCTGGGACTATGGCCTGTGCCACTGCACCTGACGTGTGTGTACTTGGAGGTCAGAAGCCAGCCTCAGGTGGCAGTCATCAGATACTTCCAACCTTTCTGTTTGATATGCGGTCTCTCACTGGCCCAGAACTTGCCAAAGTGGCTGGGTGGATTGGCCATCAAGCCCAGGATACTCGAATAGTGTTGGAATTATAAGAACACACCTTCTTGTTTTTTGCTGTGTTTTGTTTTTAAGCATGGATTCTGAGGATTGAACTCAGGTCCTGAGTCTTCCAAGGCAAGCTCTTTACGGCTGAGCTGTCCGAACCCACGCCTGACATCTGTTTTCTCTTTTCCTTTCTTTTAGACTCACTTTATTTATTTATTTTTTTTTCTTCTTTGAGACAGGGTCTCACTATGTAACCTTGACTGGCCTGGATCAAGCTCACTCTGTAGACCAGGCTGGCCTTAAACTCCCAGAGATCCACCTGCCTCTGCCTCTCGAGTGTTGGGATTAAAGGCATGCACCACCACGCCTGGTCTCATTTTATTTTTCATTTGTGTCTGTGCACGAGAGTGCAGGTGGCCATGGAGGCCAGGGGCCTCAGACCTCCTGGAGCTGGAGTTACAGGTTGTCAGCCTCCTAACGGTGTGCTGGGCCGCTCTGGTACTCTGTAGGGGCAGCACAGGCTCTGAGCTGCTGAGGCGTCTTTCCAGTTCCCCTTGCTATTTCCTAATGGTTAAACGAGTGTGCACTGGTTAAGCTGGTGTGCACTGGTTAAGCTAGTGTGCACTGGTTAAGTTAGCGTGCACTGGTTAAGCTAGTATGCACTGGTTAAGCTGGCGTGCACTGGTTAAACTAGCATGCACTGGTTAAGCTAGCGTGCACTGGGATAAACTAGTGTGCACTGGGGTAAGTTAGTGTGCACTGGTTAAGCTGCTGTGCACTGGTTAAGCAGGTGTGCACTGGTTAAGCTAGTGTGCACTGGTTAAGCTAGTGTCCACCATCACACCCTCACTGCATTCCCAGAGGTCATTGGTATAGGCTGATCTTCCCAGTGTTAAATTTTGTCACTTGGTTAAGATGGTGTCTGCTGGATTTCTCCACTGTAAGTCACTAGCTTCCCTTTTAAACCAGTCTGTTTGGGGACTGGAGGGACGGCCTAAAGGTTAAGAGTTGCTGCTATTCTTGCACAGGACCCTTGTTCAGTTCCCAGCCCCCATATCTGGCAGCTCACAACCACCTGTAACTCTGGTTTCTGGGGATCTGATGCCTCTGGCTTCCTCAGGCACCGGCACCCAGTTGCATCCACCAGCACACGGACACACACTCTTCATACACATAGTTTTTTTGTTTGGTTTTGTTTTCTCAAGACAGATTTTTCTGTTTAGCCCTGGCTGTCCTGGAACTTGCTCTGTAGACCAGGCTTGCCCAAACTCAGAGATTTTGCCTCCTGAGTGCCGGGATTAAAGGCGAATAATACCACCACCTGGTATTCACACATAAATTATTTAAAGAAAAAAATGTATCTGTGAGTAGATACTTCAAGGCATTGCTGCTTGAAGGTGAGATTTCCAGAAGCATATAGTGTCCTCCAAATCGGGACAGCACAGACAGCCCTAAGAGTGACTTACACAAACGTAGCTCACTAAGTGAATGTGCTTTATTGAGGGTTTTAGACAGTTAGTGGCAGATGACTCTGGGTGACAGCCCAAGAAAGTCTGACTCTCTCAAGTACATCTTTCTTTTCTCTGGAGACAGGAGGGGCAAGCAGGGAATGAGCGATGACAGCCACTCTCTCCAGGAGGGCAGTTCCTTATAGCACCATACCCTGTTCCCCCGAATGTTCATAGTGTCCCTGTCCATCAACCCATCTCATGTGTAGTTTGTGTTCTCGCCTCACCTTCAGGCTGATGGCAACTGCTGTCTCCAAAGGTGACCACAGTTCCCACAGCTGGATATGAAGCTGGCATTCTCTCCTGATCCTCCTGTCTCCCGTCCTAAGAGCTGGGATTACAGGCCTGACCACAGCCTCTCTCACCCAGTGCTTTGAACCCCCACTCTTACTTGAACCAGTGTGTTGTAAAGCTTTCCTAGTGTGAAGGAGCTTAACCTGCTAGCTAAACCTCCCACCTCCCCTGCCTCCTTCTTACCTCCCCATGCCTCCCCCGTGTCCCTCCTTCCTCCCTTGCTTCCCCTCTGCCTCCCTCCTACCTTCCATCTCTCGACTCTGCAGAATCAATATGAATCTCAGGTTTCCTTCTTTATTTGATGGATTTATTGGTTACTTTATCCCCCTCCTCTTCCTTTTGATGCTGGGGTGAAACCCAGAGCCTCATTCCTGGGAGAGAAGAGATCTTTCCCTGAGCCACACTCCAAACCTGACATTCCTCACTGTGATACCCCGAGAATCCCCCACTTTGCAGACAACACCTGTAAATTGCCTTCTGCCCTCCATACGCAATGCTCCGCTCTCCCCTGCACACACAATTTAAAGCATTTTCTAAGCTTATCTCATACTTTCCAGACCTCGGCCTCTTCGAGGAGAGTGGCCTTCAGGAGCCAAGAGCTGATGGCAAATACCACATCCATTCTGAACTTAGAAATGTCGAAGTTTATTTGGATGTGGGCATCAGAGGAGAGGAATCCCTATTTTCTTCAGTGTTCTAAAGATAAATCTAAAACATTTTGCTTTTCTGAGGTTGGGAATGGCGGCCCTGCCTATGACCCCAGATCCTGGGGCTGGAGCAGAGCGATTTCACGTTTGAGATTGCTCAGTAGGACCCATCTCTAAAAGCTTCAGTTGATGAAGTCTACCTGGCCACTCTCTAAAGTCAACTTTAGGCCTGGTTCTGATAAGTATTATATAACTTATTCAAACCCCAGCAGTCCCCACCCAGCATGGTTCAGGTCCTTGCCCCTGGTCTCTGGCCTTAAGTAAACTCGGCTCTGAATCTCATCTCTGTCCACTGGTTATAAAGGAGCCTGGGCTGTTTGGTTTCTCAGATTTATTTCGTGGCTTCTTCACCTGTAAAATTAGGGCAGAGTCAGGTCCATCCCTGGTCTCTTTCAGGGAGTAAATGCCGTGCTAATGGAGCATGTGTGCCATTGAGCCTTGCCTGTTTCTTTCAGGTGTGCCTTGTCCACTGTAGACAGGCTCGCTGAGAGAGGGGCTGCGCTGAGGCAGAGAACCGTCTGCATAGGCCTAGCTGGTGCTGAATGTGGCCCACAACTCCACAGCCCATTTCCTCGGTGTGTGAGCCCCTAGCTGTGGTCTCAGCACCCACGCCTGAGAGTCAGCCTGCTGTCTCAGGTCCTGTCTGTTGAGTGCTGGAGCCCGGACTCACCCTAATACAGGCTCACTGACATCCGGCACACGTGGGAAGGGACGATTTTTGTTCACCTCCATCGGCAGCAGTTTGAGTTTTTTCGGCCCGACAAACCTCCCTGCTAACACAATAATCAGACCAAATCAGACCGAATTAAAAGAAGCCTAGGTTTAATGGATGCCAGCTCTCGCAAGCGGACACCCGGGAAAACTCAGAGAGGGAGAAGGAAAACCGGGAAGACCGTGAGTCCGTTTCTCTGGGGAGCAGTTTAAATAGCCTGGTGGGAGTGTCTTCACCTTTTCTGGGGAGGGGATACCGTTTGGTGGGCTTTCTCGGAGGTGGAGTTTGAACTGAGGCAACTCCCAGGGGAGGGGACTTGAAATGGAGAGGGGCTGAGGTGACCTTCCAACTAAACATTCCAGACTCTTTGTAAATACCAATGCCAGGGGCTGAGGTGACGCTTTCAACCAAACAATGACCATTTTGCCAAACATAAATTTTTTGCCTCAGTGGTATTTCTCTCTTTAAAGTTGGGAATCTTTGTTGTCTTTGAACATTTTTTTTCTATATTCTACACTTTTTGTAAAAATATTTTATATGCCTGATCGTTTTGCCTGTAGGTCTATTTATGTACCATGTGCATGTCCATTACCAGAGGTCAGATTTAATAGAATTGGAGTTACAGATGGTTTTGAGCACCATGTGAGTGCAGGAAATGGAACCTGGGTCCTCTGCAAGAGCAACAAATGCTCTTAGTCTGAGTCATCTCTCCAGCCCTGTATTTTATCCCTTTATCTAAAAAAAGACAAAAATAACATTGTAAAAGATTTGTTTTATGTGCGTGTGTATGTGTGTGCTGGCGTGTGTGCTGACGTGTGTGCTGGCGTGTGTGCTGGCGTGTGTGCTGGCGTGTGTACTGGTAAAGGGTAGACGAACTGCCGTGTGAGTGCAGGGAACTGAGCCAGGTCTTCTATGAGAGCAGTAAGTGCTCTTAGCCATAAGCCATCTCAAGCCCTATATCCTCCAGTTTTAAAACACTTTCCAGGGGCTGCAGAGGTGGCTCAGCAGTTAAGAGCACTGACTGCTCTTCCAGAGGACCCAGGTTCAATTCCCAGCACCCACATGGCAGCTCACAACTGTCTGAAAATGCAGTTCCATGAGAACTGACACCTTCACACCAATGCACATAAAATAAAGTTAAATAAATCATTAAAAAAAAAACTTGGCTGTATCTCCTGCCTGACTATTGATTACTTACTTTTAAAAAAATAAAAAATAAAACACTTTCCATTTCTAATTAACAGTTACTAACTCTTTTCTGTTTGCAGGAGCAGAAGAAGCACGCACCCAACAGTGGGGTGCTTTGTCCCTCTGTCTTCCCTTTCCCCTTCTTCGCTCCCTTTGGTCCCCCCCTCTTTTCCTCTTCCCCTCTCCACCACTTTCTTTCCTGTTTGCTCTTCCTGTGCCCTCACCCCTGGCTACCACCCTCTCCCCCTGCTTCTTCTTTTTGATACAGGGTCTCGTGTATCAGACAGACTGACTTTGAAGTTACTATGGAGTCAAGAGTGACTTGAACTCTTAATTCGCCAGCTGCTCCCTCCCAAGAGGGAGGGTTATAGGTGTGGTCCACCAACCCTGGGTCTTTCTTTTTAAAATAATACCTGACTGGAGAGTGAAGAGCTAAAGTTCCTCCATTTTGTCCTCCTCCTCCATCTTGTGTCTTGTGTAAGCTATTTCCCACAAAACATTCCAGTCCTCAGAAATGGCTAGGGGCAAAAGTAACAGGGTAGCCATCTGGAGAATACAGATAACTGCAGAATGTCCCAGTCGATAAGAAAACTTGACAAGCAATAGGCAAGGTTTGAAAATAAAATTTATAAGAAGTCCCTAAACACGAGCCAATCAGAATTGAATCCGTCACCCCAAACCCTGCTAATGTAACTTTCTTGTTTTTTGCCCTTTAAGGGCAAAATTTTGCCCTTTAAGGGCATTATTTAATAATGCTTTCTAGAAGGGTGAGGTACCTCCTCTCGCCGCTGCTCTGATGAGGTCTTTGCCGGTAGGATAATAAAACCTTGTTTTTGCATTTCGGTGAGTCAGTCTCCCTGGTGGTCTTTTGGGGCCCGCATGGACTGGGCACAACAGAGAGATATCGCAGCGGTTAAGTGTGCTGTCTTTCTTCTGGAGGAAGGGTCCAGGCTTAATCCCTAGAAACCACTTGGTAGATTCACAATTGTCCCGGTCTGGGGCATCTGACGTCCTCTTTTGACCTCCTTGGGCACCATGTGCACATGTGCACAGATGGACATGCCAGCATGACACCCATGCATATTAAAAAAGCAAAACATAATAATCACAGGGAAAAATCATTTCTGGGCTAGGGATTTAGCTAAACTGACAGTGTTTATCTAGCATTTAGGAAGCTCTGGGTACAATCCCCAAGACCATATAAACTAGGGTAGGTGGTACACCTCCCAAAATGCCAGAGGCAAAGGCAGGAGAATTAGGTCATCCTCAGAGACAAGAAGTCCAAAACAAACAAACAAAAACAAAGAAAAACCCAAAAGGCAAAACTACAAAAGGAGGAAAAGAAAACAAGGCCATTTTCTGCTGCTTTGTTTTTTGTTTGTGACTTTGAAATTTTATTTATTTGCTTATTTATTTTGGTGTTTTGAGGCAGCGTTTCTCTGTGTAGCCCTAGCTGTCTTAGAACTTGCTCTGCGGACCAGGCTGGCTTTGAACTCACCGAGATCCGCCTGCCCCTGCCTCCTGAGTGCTGGGATTAAAGACGGGTGCCTCACCGCCCAGCTCTCTGCAGCTTTGTTCAAATCAGGAAGCTCTGGAAACAGTGTGAACGTTTATCAAGAGTGACTTCCACTGCGCCGTGAGCCATGAACTCTCTGCCAGCTGTGTGGGTAGACGTGACATGCGATGTCCCTGAGACAACGCTCAGGAGCAAGAGTGGACAATGGAATGTAGAACCTGCGCACACACCAACTGACCCAAGTGTCAGCTGCTGCTGAGTATGAAGCTGGCTTTGTTGTTTTGTTGAGACAGGGTCTCAACATGTACCTTGGATGCCCTGGGCTGTTGTGCAAGCTGGCCTAGAGCTCACAGAGGTCCATTTCCCTCTCTCTCCCAAGTGCTACTAGGCTTTCACTCTTTACATCTCCATAGGACTGGAGCATGGCCACTGTGCTAATTGCTTTACATAAACCTTTTCCTTTGAGTCTCTGCTGACTGTGGGAGGAGCAACCCAGAGGGTCAGAGCAGTCCCGAGCATGCTTGCTGGGTTTGTCTAGGATGCAAGGCCCTGATTCCTGTCGCGTGAGCCACGTCTAGTTTGCAGTGAGCAAGGCCTACTTTCCTAAGGAGATGCAGAGAGAGCAGCTTGTGCCGTAAATGAGGCACCTCACCCTAAGCCTGGTGTGCCAGGGTGGACCTATTGTGTGGGCCAGACAGAAATCTGGGCCGTTTTGTGTCTCCCAGGACTTTTGGGTGAAGGATGTCCATGCAAATGAATACTCGTTCTGCCCGTGAGCAATGCCTGCTGCTTCTGACCTGGAGCCTCTGTCAGATGAACTCAGCGCTGAGCAGCTACAGTGGGAGCCCAGGCTCTGCCAGGGACCTAGTTCAGTCTTTCTGTTGTAATAGAATTTGGGATTATTAAATTATAGATATTTTAAAATTCTCCTTTAAATTGAGAGATTTTTCAAATATAGATCTGTAAGCACTATAGTTAAGAGAAAGAAGGGTGTTCAGAAAGAAAGACACGCCCGATGGTGGGTGTGGGCCCCTCAAAAGGAGTCCCTTATTTTAGTTTCTCTGTTGTGCACAGAACTGTTTTACAATATAAAAATCAGTTACAAGTTTTTGTGGTTTTTTTCTTTCTTTCTTTCTTTCTTTTTTTTTTTTTGTTTGTTTTTCAAGACAAGATTTCTCTGTGTGACCCTTACTGTCCTGAACCTTACGCTGTGGATTAGGCTGACCTTGAACTCAGAGATCTGCCTGCCTCTGCCTCCCAAGTGCTGGGATTAAAGGTTCATGCCACCATGCCCAGTCAGTTATGAGTTTTTAGAAGGCAAGGCTCCCAAACAGACACATACCGAAAGAATCCATTTCCTAACTCAACTCAGGCAACAGAAATCATTCAAAGAATGCAAAGAGCCCCTTATTCATGGCTGGGGATATGGCTGAGAGTAGGGAACTGATGTGGGCCCAGGGCCCTGGGGTCAGACTGCAGTGCTGCAAAAATGATCCCAAGCCCCAGTTTGCTCTCAGTTGAAGACTTTTGACTAGTTTCTTTTCTTTTCCTTCTTTCTTTCATTCTTTCTTTCTTTCTTTCTCTCTTTCTTTTTTCTTGTTTTTCGAGACAAGGTTTTTTTTGTAGCTTTGGTGCCTGTCCTAGAACTAGCTCTTGTAGACCAGGCTGGCCTCAAACTCACAGAGATCCACCTGCCTCTGCCTCCCAAGTGCTGGGATATAAAAATGTATAGCCCAGACTGGCCTCAAACTCATGATCCTCCTGCCTCTTTCTCCTTCAGCAAATCCTACCAGCGTGTGCCACTACAATCGGTGACTGATTTCTTAATAGAGGTCTTTCTAGAATATTTCCTTTTTTAAAAAAATATTTATTTATTTATTTATTTATTATGTATACAACATTCTGTCTGTGTGTATGCCTGCAGGCCAGAAGAGGGCACCAGACTCCATTACAGATGGTTGTGAGCCACCATGTGGTTGCCGGGAATTGAACTCAGGACCTTTGGAAGAGCAGGCAATGCTCTTAACCTCTGAGTCATCTCTCCAGCCCCTAGAATATTTCTTTTTTTAAGTAAGTGAATCTTTTTTTTTCCCCTTGAGACAGGGTTTCTCTCTGTATCTCGGACTGTCCTGGAACTAGCTCTGTAGACCAGGCTGGCCTGGAACTCACAGAGTTCCTGCCTGTACCTCCTGAGTGCTGAGATTGAAGGCATGTGCCACCACCACCTGGCTAAGTTAGTGAACCTTAATTCACTTTATTTGCATTCATGTACATGAATACCTGCCTGTGCCTATGTGTGCTGGTGCCATTGAGGCAGAAGGAGGCACCAGATTCCCCAGATTATGGGTGGTTGTGAGTTTCCATGCTGGTGCTGGGAACTGACCCCAGACTTCTGCAAGGGCAGCCGTGCTCTGAACCTCTCAGCCATCTCTTTACCCCTTATGGTTTTCTAAGACCTCAGCATATGCAGTGGTTAGTAGTAGCCTCAACCGGGGGCCACTGGCATGACCTCGGCTTCTTGTGGCTCTGGCAAGGCTCAGCAGATTGAGGACCAGAACCATGAGCAGAATCAGGGCTGGGGTGGGGCGGGTGGGGTGTGCTGGGCTTCCTGGGAGCTCTGGGCAGGAAATGCGCCACCTTAGGTACCAGCCAGACAGCTTGGGACAGCAAACAGATGGGAAGGAAACAATCCTTCCTTCCATGTCCTCTTTCTGTCCCTTGGTCCTTAGCACATCTCCTCATCTCCCAGCTCTGGCTGTACCCCAGTGGAAACCTAAGAATCCCAGCTCTGGACCAAAGCATCCCTTCGTGCCTCCACTGAGCCCCTGGGTCCCTCAGGCAACGGTAGGAGTAGGAATGGGTGGGGCAGGATGCAGGGGTGGAGCCAAGACCCACTTCCTTTCCCCTTGGGGCTCAGTCTGCCCCAGTCCCGACCAAGTCTCTGAAGGAGCAGGAGGTTACTCTCACCCTGGCCCTGTGCCGCTTCCATTGAACTGGTAAGGTGGCGTGCTATAGACAGGTAGGCGGTGCTCAGAGGATGAGGGACCTACCTAGAGTTTGGAAAGATGAGTCGGGTGGTGGGAGAAGGGGTCAAGAGCCATTGGCTGGAGTGGAATGAGTGAAGGCCAGGAGGACATGGCTGCTGGGGGAGTCTGAGCTGCCAAGGCCAGGGTGGGGGTCACTGCCACCACCTGTTCCCTTGTTGGTTCCGATAATAGTAAAAGCAAGTAAAAGCAAGAATGGAAAAAAAAGAACCGTTAAACCACAAGTTGGGCTTGGCAGTTGGCAGGGAAGTGGGCAGAAGGAGGGGGCCGGCCAGGTTTCCCTCCCAACTCCTGTGTGTTCTTCTGCAACTTCCCTACCTTCAGGTCCCAACTCCAGCTCTGGAGATGGCCCTGCTTCTCCTCCTCTTTGCGGGCTTTTGGACCCAGGTGATGAGCAACCCAGAAGGTCTGCAGAACACAACGATGTCGCTATCTACCCTCCTTTCCAAGGTCTCAATTATCTCTGAGGCCTCGGCTGTCAACTCAGCAGCCTCCATTAGGCCAGAGACAGTGGATCCTGAGGGGACTACCGGCATCCGGAGTCAGACCCCACATCCACCTTCCCCACCCCCCTTTGAAACTATTGAATCGTCTACTCTTGGGCTTCCCGCTGGTGACAGCATAAACACCTCTGTACCGGAGCCTGCAACCTCCTGGGAAGTTTCCAAGACATCGGTGCAGCTTCCAGAATGGATAGCTGTTTCCAGGGACCCTCCTACTACCACAGCCAATCCTGTGACAGACGGAGCGGTCACAGTTACCTCTCTAGAAACCTTTAGAGGGACTAGTGCACCCCCTGTCGCCATGACAACAAGTTCCAAGGAGACCAGTGAACCCTCTGTGGCTACCACAGTAATCTCCAAGTCCAGTGGTCCCCCTGTCATCATGACTACTGAATCTCCAGGGCTCTCCAGTGAGCCACATGGACTCCTGACCACCACAGCAACCAGTTCTGTGGAGAGTTCTAGTGCAGCCGGTGGCACCCCAGTCTTCAACATAAAAATATCCACAACGTCTACCCCAGAGCCCGTAACCAACAGGACGCCACACCAGGGATCAAGTGGCATGTTGCTAGTGCCCATGCTTGTGGCCTTGCTAGTGGTTTTGGCCCTTGTGGCTCTGCTGCTGTTGTGGCGCCGGCGGCAAAAGCGGAGGACTGGGGCCCTGACGCTGAGCGGAGGTGGGAAGCGTAATGGGGTAGTGGATGCCTGGGCTGGGCCAGCCCGGGTTCCTGATGAAGAGGCCACAACAGCAGCAGCATCTGGGTCAGGGGGCAACAAGGGCTCGGTGGCCCTGGAGAGAGAGGGGTCGGGGCAACAGCGGCCCACGCTCACCACTTTCTTCAGCAGACGGAAGTCTCGCCAGGGCTCTTTAGTCCTGGAGGAGCTGAAATCTGGGCCAGGTCCCAACCTAAAGGCGGAGGAAGAACCGCTGGTGGGCAGCGAGGATGAGGCTGTGGAAACCCCCACTTCTGATGGGCTAGAAGCTAAAGACGGGGCTGCTGCACCTCAAAGCATGTGAGCATCAGGAGGCCTTCACCCGACCTGCTCCCTAACCCTGGATCCTGCTCTCAGCGTCCTGGCACTCTACATTTGTGAATATTTGTGAACTAAGTGCGTTCGTTCGTTCGTTCGTTCATTCATTCATTCATTCATCCATCATCCATCCATTCTCTCCCCCCTTTCTTTCACTATGCTCCTTTTGGAGATAGTTGCTGAATCTCCGATAATCTTAGTTGACCTACAATTCCTTCAAGGATCCACCTTGAGAGGCTGGGATCTGACAAAGAATGAAATGCCAAACTTTGGGAAGTATATGGCGCCCCCTTCAGGACTCCCATTTGCTCAGGGGCCAGCTTAGAGCCTGGATGGGGACATCCAGCCTGTTCTTGGGTGAACTATGACCTGTGGCTTTCCTCAGAGCACTCTGGCTTTGGGCTGGCTTGTAGCTGCTGGGGGAGGCTGCCAGAGATTGGCTACTCTCCTTGGGGGCAGAAATGAGAGTTTCTGGCTCCAAGAAGCCTAACACCTGCTGTGTCCACTCGGAGATGCAGTTTGTGTACAAGATGTGCCGCTTAGGTGATGGTTGTGAAGAGTACGAGTGAGTACAGATGGTGGGAAAGAGCCCGGCAGGGACTGGGGACCGCCAGAAGAAGGGACCCGGTAACTGCCGAGAGCGCAGAGCCCTTCATCTCGCTCAGACAGGGTCGAAGCAGCTGAAAACCTAAATCTGGATGTAGCCTTCAAAAGAATGCAAACTCGATGGGGACTAAGCCGCCAGATGCTCCCCTCAAAAGCTCCCTCACACCGACACCCACCCACCCCACGCCCACATGCAAGAAGCGGAGAGGCGGAGAGGCGTCAGCCCAGCGCGGGGACTGGGTGCCTCCACCCCCCCCCCCCCCCGCCCCGGTCTTGATGCCTTTTCTAACAGTCTCGGTTTTTTCGGTTTGTCTGTTTCCTCTTCCACTTCAAGACTGAAGTCCTTCCCTTTTCTAAAGAGAGTAAGAGGGAGTTAGAAGAGAATACAGGCCCTGGGGGTGGAACATGCTTGCCAGGGACTCCCCAGGGTCTGAGGTAGAGGGAGGGGACAGTTCCCAGTTGGGCTACTTCTGACCCATCAGCCTCTGGTACCAGCATGTGGTCCGAAGGTGGTTGCTGGAGGAGATTTGCAAGAGGAAGTTGTTGAGTCAGAGGGCACAGTCCTTGAGAACGGGCTGACCTACAAAAGGAGGTGTGAGGGTGGCTGTGCATGGCCGGGATGGAAGAGGGGAAGATGGGAAATGGAGGCCCAGGTGGCTCTCCAGATGAATGTGGGAGAGGGAAGGAGAGCAAGGCATGGAAAGGGGCCCGGATCAGCTCTCATCACATCAAGCTGCCATTGCCCCCTCCCTTAGCCTGTGGGGAAGAGGAAGGGCTGAGATGGGCACCCGTGGGCCCCCTTGAACCATTTCTACTGCTCACTAGGGGCCATGTGGACCAACTTTAAGGAGATGGCAGAAACGAGTCGCAAATGGCCCATAAGGGACACAGCAGCTGTTCCGGTAGGTTTTGCCAAGCTGAGTGCCCCAATTTCAGGTATTTAGAGGATAATGTCACCAAACTGAGAGGTCAAGGGCTCTGACATTTCCTGAGCTGTTTTTGGTTTTCAGCTGCAGGAAGAGAAGAAGGTTGAAGGAAGTGGGGTAGAGATGGGGGGGGGGGGGGTTGCCACCTAACAGGACTTCAGCCCAGACAGGGTCAGAAGGCTTCAAACCCTAAATTGAGTGACAGACAAAAATGTCACAAGGGCGCTAAAAGAAGGAAGTGGTCGTACTGTTTCTGAGGGAAGACAAGAAGGCTTCATGTTTGTCCCAGGCTCTCCTCGGCCACATCCCATTTCCTATTGGCTCCTGTGCCTGGCAAAAACAGGTGCTCAGTGTGCAGTCACATGAACGAATGAATGATGAATGAATGAATGAATGAATGAATGAAGAAATGAGGCTTTGAAAGCTAGGAAGGGGAAGGTATTTTTACCACAGGTGCTAGAGGGTGCAAAAGTGTATAACTAAGTAGAGCAGGAAACATGGTGGGACACAGATGGATGTCCTTCAGTTCAGCAGAGGAAAAACAGTAAGCAAGCAACAGATGTGGTAAAGCCAGAGAAAGAGAGAAGGAGGGTAAACAGAAACAGGGAAATGTAAAGCAGTTTCAGCTCCATCAGTCCTGAGGTGATTGTGTGTGGCTCGCGTTCGTGACACCCTCGCCATGTTTCCAGAAACTGTAACGACCCCAGAAATGGCTGCAGCTGACATGGAATGGGAAGAAGGAAGGCATTCATCTGTAAATACGTATGGTTCTCATTTATAATAAAAGCTACATCCCAAATGTTTAGTGTGGTCCTCTGAAAGGTGGGGAATCGAAGTGTGATTTTCATCTTACTTTTCTGTGGTTTTCAAGTTTTACACAATAAATGTCTTTACTTTTACAGTTATGAGAAGTATTGTTGAGGGGCTGGGAGAGGGTTAAAAGCATAAGAACACTGGCTGCTCTTCCAGGGGACCAAGTTCTGTACCCAGCACTTAAGATGCAGCTCACAACTGTCTGTAACTCCAGTTCCAGGAGATCCAATGCCTTCTTCTGACCTCCAAGGACGCCAGGCATGCATCTGGCACAGGTACATAAACACACATGCAGGCAAAATACCAATACACATAAAATAACTAAATCTTAAAAAGGTGCATTGCTGAAGCAGATGTTTCTTAGAGAGCCGTGGGAGGTGAGGCTGGAGAGAGAGCCGTGGAGAGGGTCAGAGTCTCAGAAAGCTTGAACTGGCTTCTGAGAGTGTTCAGATGGAGGAGGGGGGTGTCCCATCTGTCCCATGAGACCTCTGCAGATAGTGAGTGCCGTTCTTCCTCCGGTTGCCTGGCAACATGTCTTAGAGCCATCCTCAAACTGCTCCCCTGTGCTAGGTTCAGCTGACTCTTCCACTGGTCCCTCCTCCCCTTGGGTCCTTGATTTCTCTGCAGGCCCCAGCACCATGTCCAGATATTATTTTCATTTTTTAGATGAGGTAAGGCCTATTTGGAGCTACTGGTTTTGCTTTGTTGTGAGACAGTCAGGGTCTTACCATGTAGCCCAGGTCTTTTAAAAGTCACTCTCCTATGTCAGTCTTCTGAATGTTGGGGCACAGGAGTGTTCAGCCATGCCTGGTTAAAGTTTTATTTCATTTCATTTTATTTATTTTTTTATAAGAATATATTTTTATTTATTTATTTATTTTTTGATTTTCGAGACAGGGTTTCTCTGTAGTTTTTGGTGATTGTCCTGGAACTAGCTCTTGTAGACCAGGCTGGCCTCGAACTCACAGAGATCCGCCTGCCTCTGCCTCCCGAGTGCTAGGATTAAAAGCGTGCGCCACCGCCCGGCAAAGTTTTATTTTATTTTGAATTGGCATGCAATAGTTATTCAGTTCTATGGGGGTACATGTCACACACATACACATACACACATGTATGTATGTATCAGTATATGCAAAATGCATAGTAATCAAATCAGGGTAATTAACATGCCCATTAACTTTTTTGTGGCAAAATCCTTTCTTCTAGTCGTTTTGAAACATAAGCCACGAGCCAGCCCTGCTGGCACAAACTTGTAGCTCCTAGAGCTTAGGAAACAGTATGGAAGGATCGGGAGTTTAAGGTCATCCTGGGCTACATAGCAAGTTTGAGGCCAACCTGAGCTACATGAGAACCTGTCTCAAAAACCAAACCATGACTCATAGTCATGCTTACTGGGATGGTAGGACTTCCTCCGCCTGCCCACAGTCTGTACCCTGAGCATCCAATCCTCTCTTTAGCTTCTGAGAAATTCTACTCTACTCAATAAGGTTTACTTTTCCACAGATTCCACATATTGGTGTAGGAGGGTCTTCTTTCTATGTGTTGCTTTCATTGGTTAAATAAAGAGACTGCCTTGGCCTTTTGATAGGACAGCAGCTTAGAAAGGTGGAGTAGACAGAACAGAATGCTGGGAGAACAAAGGTAGAGAGAGCCACCCGCCGTGAAGCTGCCAGGTCAGACATGTTGAATCTTTCCCAGTAAGTCACAACTCATGGTAACATACAGATTATTAGAAATGGGTTGAATCAAGATGTGATTCAAGAGGCTACAGCTAATGGGCCAGGCAGTGTTTAAATGAATACAATTTGTGTGTGGTTATTTCGGGGTATAAACTAGCCAGGTGGCTGAGAGCTGGGTGGTGGGAAGCGGCCTGCTGCTCCTTTTACAACAACATATAATTGAGATTGTGACGGCACACACACACACACACACACACACACACACACACACACACACTACTAACAAGCTGGCCAAGCTGGCCTCAAAATCTTGATCCTCCTGCCTCAGCCTTCCAAGTTCTAGGATCCTAGGCTGTCTTAGTCACTGTTCTATTGCTGTGAAGAGACACTGTGACCAAGGCAATTTATAAAAGCAAGTATCCAATTGGGGGCTCGCTTACAAATTCAGAAGGTGAGTCTGTGATCACCACAGTGGGAAGCACGGCAGCAGACAGGGATGCCTGGTGCTGCAGCAGTAGCTGAGAGTTTACTTTTTTTTTTTTAAGATTTATTTATCGTGTATACAGTGTTTCACTTGCATATATGCCAGAAGAGGGCGCCAGATCTCATTATGGATGGTTGTGAGCCACCATGTGGTTGCTGGAAAATGAACTCAGGATCTTTGGAAGTACATCCAGTGTTCTTAACCTCTAAGCTGTCTTCCAGTCCCAAGAGCTTACATCTTGAGACATAGCCATGAAGCAGAGAGAGAGAGTGACAAAGAGAAACAGATACACACACACACACAGATTGACATATGGATACACACACACAAAGAGAGAGAGAGAGAGAGAGAGAGAGAGAGAGAGAGAGAGAGAGAAAGCACACTAGCCAACCAGCTGGGAATGGTGTGGGCTTTAGAAACCTCAAAGACCACCCAAGTGACACCCTCCTACAATAAGACCACCCCTCTTAATCCTTCCCCCAAAATTCTACCACTTGGGGACCAAGCATTCAACTATATGAGCCTGTGGGGACCATTCTCATTCAAACTACAGCACAGGTGTTACCACCATACCCAGCTTCAGGTCACACAGTATTTTCTGTGTCTGACTAATTTCACTCATACATTGTCTCCTGGTACCTCCATTTTGTTACCAATGGCAAGATTTCACTTACTAAAGCAGTACTCCAATTACTAAATAGCGTTCTTCGTATATAACCAAACATTTTCTTAGCTATTCTCCTACTGATGTGTACTTGAAACTCAAATAGTTCAAAAGCTAAATAATCACAGGGCTGGAGAGATGGCTCAGGCATTAAGGGAACCAACTTTTCTTCTAGAGCTGGGTTCAGTTCCCAGCACTCACAGCTCATGACTGTCTCCAACTCCAGTTCCAGAGGACCCAACTCCCTCTTCTGACCTCCACAGGCACCAAGCATACACATGGTATAAAGACATACATGCAGGCAAAACACTCATATACACAAAATAAATAATAATTCAGCAAAAAACTGGACTAAAGACCAAAATAGAGGGCCGGGCAGTGGTGGCTCACGCCTTTAATCCCAGCACTCGGGACGGAGGCAGGTGGATCTCTGTGAGTTCAAGGCCAGTCTGGTCTACAAGAGCAAGTTCCAGGATAGGCTCCAAAGCTACAGAGAAACCTGTCTCGGGGGAAGAAAAAAAAAAAAGACCAAAATAGATATTTCTCAAAAGAAGACAGGCCTGCAAGGGGAAAAATTCATACCACTCATTCTGAGATAAGTCATGCCACTCTGAGATGGCACCTCACCTAGTCGGAATGGATGCTTTAGAAAAGATAAAAGATGCGATTAGACAGATGCCTCAGCCTTTAAGAATGCTGTACAGTCAGGTGGTCATGGCTCAAACCTTTAATCCCAGCATTGGGAGTCAGAGGCAGATGATGAGTTTGAGGTCAGCCTGGTCTACAGAACATGTTCCAGGACACCCAGGGCTACCCAGAGAAATTCTGTTAAGAAACAAAACAAAACAAAAAACAAAACAAACAAATAAAAAGAAAAAGCCTGGCAGTGGTGATGCACGCCTTTAATTCCAGCACTCAGTAGGCAGAGGCAGATGGATCTCACTGAGTCTGAGGCCAGCCCGGTCTACAAAGTGAGTTTTAGGATAACCAGACTGTTACACAAAGAACCCCTATCTTGAAAAACAAAACAAATTTAAAAAGAGAGAGAGAGAGAGAGAAGAAAGAAAGAAAGAAAGAAAGAAAGAAAGAAAGAAAGAAAAAGAAAATGGAGAAATGTTAATCTGGGTGTTCCATTGCTGTAACAAATCACGTTCCCATAAATTCGCTGCTATGTTAGCCATATAAGGCCTTATTTTCCTGTCTGTCCTCCTGGCTCTATACACTTGACCAATCCTGCACTTTGTTTTACCTGAGATAAAGTTCCAATCTCTGGAAGCCGAACATTTACCACCTAAAGAGGCCAGTTTGGATGTCAAAATTTTGGTGCAATTACTGCTACATCTGCCTTTGTGCCCACTAAATCCTCAATTTCAATGTCATTTATTTGTATTTTTAACTTTGGTCTTTGATCATTTATAGAAGTTGACTAAATATTTGCTTTATGGTTTCCCCTAGAAATTTTGTTTTATCTTCCAAAGTGGTTGTATCATCAGAGCAGCATGGTTTCCACGACAGGCATTAGGCCTTTTAACTGCTCTGTGGATGAGTTTCCCCAATGCTGACTGGAAATGGTGGAACCAAATTTGACACAGGGGCCTGCAAGAGGCCCTCTAAGGCATTTCCAAGGGTTACTTTGCCTGTCCCATGTTGATCTGCATTCAGTAGTCCATATTCCAGAAGGCTGGTGCCTTCTTGTTTGGATTATCTCTAGAAAAAAACATTGTTCCTAGGAATGCCTTGCCTACAATCCCACAATTAAAACATCTAACCTTTTGATTTTTCTTAAAATTTTTAGAAATTACTTCTCCTATACAAGTATCATCATCATAAACATGAAATCCAATATCAGCTTTATTTCTAATCCATTCATCTATGGGTGCTGATCTTGCCTTTAAAAGCCTGATCACCCTTTCATATTCTGAATTAGCATTTTCAAAAGCAAAAGATTTAATTAATATTTGTCTAACTTCTGGATCTGATATAATTCTACTTACAGCCTAGGTCAAGCTTTGTTAAAAAAAAATCAGTGAAGGCTTCTTTTGGGCCTTATGTAATTTTATCTCAAGCATTCAAAGCTGCTGTACAGCATAAGAACTAAGGTATGATCATCAAATGTAGACATTCTTTACAAGTCAGCATAATGACCCTTATTAAAAATTTAATCTTGGGAAATCTCATAACCTCTAATCTTATCTCACTGTTCTATGACCCTAGCTTCCTCTCCCCACCAGGTTCTTCACTGTGACTCAGGACTAGCTTCCAATA